AAAGTATATTGTAATATATACACAACATAAACAACATACCCTTTGCGTTACTGAGTACTTTCTCGCGTTTGTAGAGATGTGAGAAGTCTAGCCCTGTGACAGGAAGTGATCGGATGCTGTCCGTCTCACCGTCCTCTGAGTCCGTCTGCTGACCCTGAGTCTGACGGGATTTCCGCGAAGATCGCATTCGCGGGTCGTGTCTCTCCAAACCTTCCGAGATTTTCTGTTAAATTACAGAACAAAAGTTGGATGTAAAACAATAAATGATCACCCATGTCTGAACTTTTAGCCATGATAGATATATTTCAAAATTTGCCAAGAAGTTATTGAGTATTTAATTAGCAACACATGACTTGTCCTATAATAACATGATCAGATTTCTTTTTTTCCACAATTACAGTTTTACTGTAGATCACTAAATTTTCGCGACACCTTATTTTCGCGAGATAGTCATTGACTCTTGATTAGTGAGAAAAAATTTTAGCGAATTGTGGTTACTGCTCTGTATAATCTCAAGGACTACTGGTATACTCGAGAATTGAATTTTTCGCGAGCACATTGTCTCGCGTAATTACACGAAAATAAAGTTCTCGCGAATAATAAATGATTTACAATATCATTTAATCAGAGAGAGAGAGAGAATAGTTAAGAGAGGGATATGGAGATAACGAACAGTATCCAATCTTAAATGAGAGAGAGATACAGTGGAGCCTTATTTATCCAGACGTTTTGGTTCCTAATCAGTTTGTCCGGATATGTGAAGCGTCCGGAAACCTGAATCCCAAATTATACAAGACAGAATAACATTTAAAATTTCCATCCCAATGAAAAAACTGAAGCATTCGGATAGCTGGGGTCAGGATATCTGAAAATCCACTGTACATCAACCCCATAGTATCCAGATAGGACATGACTATTTATTTTGAAGGCCTGGGTTCAATTCCCTGTCTGGTTTGTCAGATTTTTCTCTTCGTTGTTTATGTAAGGAAAAAATCTTCTTCCTCTTACTTCTTCTCTCTTTCATTCACTCCTCCTTCCTCCCCCCCCTCCACCACCCTTTACCTTCATTATAACTGTTTTTCATGTAAAAGTTTATACTAAAAGCATCGAAGCTTCGTGTCCTCTGTTGTTAAATAGAGCAAAGAAAAAAAGTTTTTTCCATTTATTTTCAGGAATATGTATTCAAAGTTTTTCCTCCAATTTTCTTAATGCTGTTAAAGGGGACTCTGCTATCTACTCAACACAAAAATGATAAAAGTTTTTAATAGTAACTTAAACGTTTTTTTTTTTAAGTTTTAAAATATTTTCACTTTTAATTTCATTCAATTTTTGATGATTTCTAATTATTTGCTTCCAATGTTTAGGGATTGCTGATAATAATCCGGGATATTCCACGAAATTTGTATTTAACATGTATTTATCATTAAATTGGTTAAAATTCATGAAATCGCCATTTTCCGTGATTAAATCATTAATGAAAAATATGCCATTGGTAATCCATTTTCGCTTAAACACATATTTTTTCCGACTTTGATATCATTATCTAGCCATAGTGGCTGATCCTAAAAATTTCACGATTGACTAGCCTTTCCCCAGGATATTATTTTTCCAGAATGGATTAAATTTATTTGCAATGGTTTCTAAACCTTCCTATCTAAAATACCACATTTTATCCTTTCCGAACTTTTGTGTCTTGTCGAGAGCAAGAGTTTCCATGGCGAATGAACATTAGGGTTAAGTACTTTTTTGACCCATGAGATCGATGCTTTCACGGGCTTGGCAGAAAGATGCTAGATGAGGAACCTTAAGCCCTCCGTTTTCTGTTGAATTATATAGGACGGCGCGCTTGATATTGTCTGGTTGCCTTCCCAAATAAATTCAAAAAACAGAAGTTTCTTTAAAAAAAATCTGAAGGAGGGTCTGGAAGAACAGTAAAAAAATTAAACAAAATCAGTAAAACAAGTGTTTTAAGCACCGTGACTTTTCCGATCAATGTGAGGTTTCTAAAAGACCAATCATTAATAAGCTTTTTGGCAGCTTGTAACTTTTCCTCATAATTATCATAAGTGATATCAGGTTTGTTTAAGTCAAAAGTTATACCTAAGAGTTTAAATTCACCGTCATGGTTGCACATTATTTTTTTTTTGTCTTAATCTCTTGACCACAGCCCCTTTTTGCACCAATTCATTGTGTTTTTTTTTTTTTTCGAAATTGGGTTTTAGTCCGGAGCAAGCAGCAAAGGAGTTTATGCATTTTAATGCTAAGTTAAGGAATTTTTCATCATCTTCGAGCGCTAGAAAAATATCTTCTGCATATTGGCTAACAAGATATTCTGAATCTTTAATATTTATTCCCTTAATGTCGGGATTGTTTTTTAAAGAGGCGCTGAGGAGCTCTACCACTAGAAGAAATAAATAAGAAGAAAGAGGGTCCCCCTGTCTAAAACCTCTTCCTATTGTGAAAATGGATGAATAAAAAGACCGTTGTTAAGCACATTGCTAGATACATCGTGATAGAGTAGTTTAAACCATTTTATTATTGATCACCCAAAGTTGAAAAATTCTAAAGTTTTGAAAATAAAGTTTCAATCAATAGTATCAAAAGTTTATTAAAAGTCATATGATAAAAGTATGCCAGGAATATTTTCTTCTTCTGCTTTTTGAATTCGATCATATATGAGACGAGTGCATTCTCCGATATATCTGTTTTTAATAAAACCCGCCTGTCTTTGGCTGACAAGTTTTGAAATATATTTTTCATCCTATTTGCAATACACCGCAGATATCGGTCGCCAGTTCTTAAAATACAGTTTTGATTTGTCACTTTTGGGAAAGCATTTTATCACTCCAAGCCTCTGTGAAATTGATAGAGAATTTTTAAAATAAGCATGGTTTATTGAATTAAGCAAATATTTATAAATATATTTCCACAAGAACTTTATATGTAAAACCGTCAAGTCCAGGGGATTTTCCGCTTTTTTTTTTTTTTTCATTTTTCATTCTGTAATGCGAAAAAAATTCCTCTTTAGAGATTAGACCTTCTAATTCATTTTTTTTTCATCCTCTGTGAGTCTTTCAATATACTAGTTTTTAGAATCAAAAAACACTTCCTCGTGTTCTTTTGTTATTATCACTGCGTGAAAATTTGGCTTTACAAAACAAGTAAAGATAAAGTAAATTTATTATTTACAATGCCTTTAATTGGCTTTTCTGAAAAAAGTCAAAGTTGGAAAAGGTAACCTTTACATTAACTTTACATGCACTTAAATATGATGTAATGTCCCACATTGTCTTGACTTTACAAAAAAGTAAAGTTAATATTTACAACCATTAAACACAGTATTTAGGATATATTAAATCTGATAATTACAGACCTTAAATTTAATTAAATACCATCTTTAATAACCACAATCTGATAATTACAAACCTTAAATTTAATTAAATACCATCTTTAATAACCACAAAAGTTAATAATTTCCGTTTTCCATTCCAGTGAATGAAGCCTTATTCAAATTATGAATAAGATTTTCCTTCAAAATTGATAAGTTGCGGAAATGTAAACATCATAATTAATATACATATTAAGAAAAAGCTGACTTTAACTTTGTTTATTACAATACAAAACATTATTTTTTACAAACATTAGATCAAAATCATCAAGATTCTTGTCAGTATATGTTGCCCACATCCTATCCTGCAAATTACATACATATCAACATGATCAAAGACAGAGTACATTTTACAAATATGTTTTTTTGTATGTGACATGTTTTATAATAAAACCAACTGTACATTCTTGAATTTAAAGTTGTGAATCAACATAAAACTATGTCCTCTTTCTTGTGGATATTGGTTTTAGTGGAAATCAACAACTGTCAAAATGTTTTTGTCACACCTCCCTTTTCAGAGTTCAAAACTTTTCTCCCCATACAGGCATTTTCCTAATGCTTTTCCTAAAAGAAAAAAAAGTATTTTTTTTCAGTGCCATGCATAAATATGAATATTTTCAACGGCTTCGTGTTATCAGAATTCACAATACCATGATTAATAAAAATAAAAACAAGGCACAACCTTACTAATAAATAAACAGTTAATACATGACCTTTAACCTCAAAAAGCAAAAAAAATGTAAATTTATTAATTTAATAAGATGAGTGGAACTCTTGTTATTGACATATTATATGAAGAATCTATGGGTTAGGTCATGTATCCCTTATCACATAAAGCCTATAAATTACAATTTGAGAAAAATGTATTTTTTAAGGGTACTACACAAAAACAAAGAATAAATCCCTGAAATATTGAGAAATCATAGGTTTCCTGACTACTCAGTTGTCAGTTTACAAAGAGAACAATATAATGCTACGTACCGTATAAGTAGAATTTTTAGCGAGGATTTAATTTTGGCATTATTAGCGAGGTTGTGGAGATCGCTAAAATTAAATATTGTTAAAAATTAATTGCGTTTTATTTGTATAAGTTTCTTAAATGTACATTTTAAAGTCGCTAAAATAGCATCTCGCTAAAAATAAATTACCAGTTTTAAAGGACAAATCGTAAAATTTGCCTCTCGCTAAAATTTCCACTTGTACGGTATTTAGTGTAGCTGTACATGTATACAGAATGATACTGAAGTTATGGTTTAGGATATATGTACCTTTTTCCCCAATCGCATGTTTCAGCTCATGAACTTCTTCCTGCATGATATGGAACAGTAAAAGGACTTTAGGTGAGAGTCCCTCAAATTGAAGATGACAATCATGCTGAAATAGAATTCATACCATGATTAACATTTTGTACTGGTACATATGGACAAATATAGTCAGTCTTTTTTTTTTTAAAAATTATCAGTTTGAAGCAAACAGCTGCACTTGGTCACCAGAGAATGAATTGATTTTGAAAATTAATACACAGTGCAATCACAAATAATAGCTATGAATTGACAAACACCCTTATGTTATTTTTTATCAAGAATTATTTAAATTTAGTTCTAAACAATACTTGCCATTTATAATATGAAAGTTGAGAACCAGCCTCTTCTTCATGACAGATCTTTTAATTTTCTCATGGTAGGCTGAGTAGCTTGAGACTATACAAAGGAAATTGAACATTTTTTTTACAAATATATGACGATATTGACTCCCGAGCAAGTCAAGCACTAAATAATGTAAATGTTTGTTCAAGTAACAGATTTCATGAAATTTATTATTAAAATGTGCTTGTACCAAAGAACACTGGGATCCTCAATCTGGGTAATCATGTTTTGTTGTCTTCCTCGCCCCGTCTTGATGTTTTCCCTTCAACAATCTGCATACTGAATTCACTATACCTGTGTTTTAAGAAAATGGACACAGTTTAAAATACAAAATGATATAAATAAAAATAAATAAACTCTCAAAGTTGAGAGTTTATGTATATAGGTTTAGTACTTTTCTTAAAACATTATTTTTCTTGCCTGATCAGAATCTTTATTAAAGCAACTTTTAGAGTGTAGTTAACATGGTTAATGTAGATGCAAATTTTTAAAATTATTTTACATTTATCTCAATCCGGCAGACAAGCCCCTATGATTCATACACCTTTACAGAATAAAGTGACGCACATAAACATTTAATCCCAGAATTATCAAAAGTACTTATCTAATATCCTAGCAGAAAATAACATACAAAGCGTCGTTTTCCGTGACTTTGATTAATTTCATTCTTTCACAACATGCACACTGTACTGATCTGAAAGTGAAAGTAAAAACGGCTGGAAATCGTAAACAAACCTTTAGAGCATGCCAACCCGGGAGTTAGAGCAGTTGTTCAGGCAAGAATCTTCTTAAATCTAGATGAAGTGTCAAAAAATTACCACTGGTTTCAAACTTCGTCAAAATAACGATGCAGACCCGCTCAACTTGATTTGAAATGATTGGCTATTCAACCGAATACACAGTGCCATATTTGGGTTACTGTTCAGAGTAGATCGTTCGTTTTACATTCGAGAAGAGTTTACATATTACTTGAATGAAGAGGATAACATAATACTGAGCTTAAAATTGTGTGTAAAGTATGTTTTCAGTGTAGTTTACAATACAGGCTGTAAATGTGCTGGAGATTTTATTGATGTTGAAGCTTGTAAACAAAACCAATAAACGTAGGACTTATTCACGGCAATGTATGGGAACCAGAGCAAGGGAACCAGTCTAGAAGGCAAAGAAAATTCCGCCAAGTAAACAACAAAGAAAGGGATTTGGGATGTTGTCAGTTGCATACATTATGTGGGCCGGTGACTGCAAGGTAATACATGTGTCTTATTTGTTGCGCATAATTTGTTTCATTTTAATTATGGAAATTTATACGTCCCAACCAGTGGCGTTGCATCGTTCAGGTCCAGGAAAATCACTATATTTAGCTATAAACGTATATCTACCTATATAGCTTTATTTACCTATAAAATATAGCTATATTTAGCTATTTTGGAATAAGTTTCAGTTTTATGAAAAGCAGACAAAAAGTCGCATAATGAGTCAGTATCAGTTTTCAACTTTGAAATGGACTGAAAGCAATTCACCAAAAACCCATTTATAAAAATGTTTCTCCTTTTGTGCTTTTGTGTAAAGTTGCCCAAAGTCGAAAATCCTTTTTCGTGATGGTGGTGGTGGTGGTGGTGGTGGGGGGGGGGGGTAGGTTAACTTTTTCTCAGTGGCAACTACATTTAGTACCAATTCTTATACTACATTTTCGGTACATTTCTAAAAGTGGGGGGCCAACCAGGCTTTGAATTAACATTTCCTATAGTGTATGTTAGTTTTGGAAAAAAAAGTGGGGGCCAAGCCCCCCTGGCCCCCGGATACTATGCCCCTGCCAACACTGGCAGAAATATAACTAACCTGACTTCAAAATTCCTTCCTCTGTTCCCCCAAGTACATGTAACACTCTTCGCTCTCATTTTTTAAAAATTTTCATTGTATATTTTTTGTACAAGCAAGGAATGTGGAGCTAATGCATGCTGCTAAGGATGGAAAGGTCTTGTGTTTATTGGTTGTTCCTGAGACACCAGTCACAGTTGTACCTTATTTCCATTTTAGGTAATGCCTTTTGATTTTTTTTAAGTAGAGGGAACAATGCATTTTTCATTCAATATAAAGATTCGCTCTCATTTTTTAAAAAAATTTCATTATATATTTTTGTAGAAGCAAGGAATGTGGAGCTAATGCATGCTGCTAAGGATGGAAAGGTCTTGTGTTTATTGGTTATGCCTGAGACACCAGTCACAGTTGTACCTTATTTCCATTTTAGGTAATGTCTTTTGAATTTTTTTAAGTAGAGGGAACAATGCATTTTTCATTCAATATAAATGTAAAATTCTAGAGAAAACTTTTTTTCAACATTGTTGGATACTTACTACATGATTTTATCTAAAGAAAAGTATTTAAAATATTTCCTCACATTTTTTAAAGAGGCCAGGTATGGTATAGAGATAATTCATTTTTTATTCAAAATCTTATTTTCCATGCATTTGTACAGGGAGTCTATATACACTTGAGAGGTGAGCGTCAGATTCAATTTTGAAGATGGATGACTTTCAGATGTTGTGATGAAGATTGTTGAAAGAGATTATCAACAAAGAACCAATCCATATGAATGTGCAAGTCAGGTGAGGATTTGGACTTCAACATTTAATCAAGAGATGTTTATATACTGCTAAGCTTAGTGAAAGCACACCATAAACATTTTAAGTATCTCTGTAAGTTTCATGGATATTATAGATGTATCACTATCATATGTTTGACATTGAGTCGCTTTGTCTAAATTTCCATTATGTTTAGTTATACATGTGTTAAGTTACTTAAGTATGTCTTCAAAAGCTTGTGCTTTAATTTCAATAGAAGTAATGAAAACCTATTTAAAAATTGTATTTTTTTCTTTATAATTTTGAAAATTATTATTATTAGGACTTGTACAACACCTGAGTACCCAGATGACTGTTGAACTAATTGGTGAACAAGAAAAGATGTCAGAGAGGGGAATGTAATACAGATGTCATGATCAAGAAAATGTACTGTTATCAATGATATGATCAAGAATTTGTAAACTTGAAGCGATTTAGAATATCTTATCTGTAATATAACTCTTCAATAGTTAATTGTTCACACATTATCATCTTATCTGTATATTAATTGCCCCCTCTTATATAACCCCCTGCTGATCGTAATGACCTGTGTATTGATTCCTGATCTTAAGGATCTTATAATGTGCTCCTGATCGTCAGGAGCGGATCTTGAGTATATATATAGTGCGACAGAATTTTAGAATAAGATAGGAAGATGGAAATATAGAAGACTTAGTAGATTGAACTGTTAGAGATAGATAAAGTTACTTACTTACTTGGAATATAACCTAATATTTCTTGGATTTATATGTACATGTGATTATTTAACTTGGATTTTATTTTTAGTGAATTATTTTTCCTGAATGTTTCTATTTGTGATGTGCTGTGTAAATAAACTGTAGACTAGAATTTCGGCATCTATTTTCAAGATATGAGGAACAAGGATAAATTGATTTATTCATGCAAACTGACATTATGAAATGTGTTATAAGACTGCCCAATGCGGCGCTACAAACTAACTAGGAAATATCTTGAAGATTTATAGATGAACATGCAAGCATTCATTGTTTTAAATGTTATTCATTCAGAGTTTTTGCACAAATTCAATTTTCAGTAAAGTAATTTAAACTGGATGTGTGATTTTCAGTACAGTTATGTAATATGAATATGTTACTTATTTTGATTGTCAGTATCTCAACAGGACATAATTGTAATTTATTTATTTGCAGAACAAAACACACAGAACTTTTTTTCTCTTTGTGCATCATACACTTGTAAACGTTTTACACCATCTTGGTTACATATTTTACATTTATGACGTGTAAATCGAGCAAACACATGAAAATACGTGAAGCTGGATACATATGCAAACATGCATCTACCATAACCTATTACATATTTTCCAAGGTGTGTGAAGTCGAGCACTACATGAAAATGTGTGAAGCTGGACACATACACAAATACACATGCATCTGCCACAACCTATTACATATTTTCCAAGGCATGTGAAGTCGAGCACATACATGAAAATGTGTGAAGCTGGACACATATGCAAACACACAAGCATCTACCACAACCTATTACATATTTTCCAAGGCGTGTGAAGTCGAGCACATACATGAAAATGTGTGAAGCTGGACACATATGCAAACACACTAACATTTACCACAGACATAAAAACATAGTCTAAACTAAATCAAGCATAGACAGACTCACGGGGTGAAGCTGGACTCATACATGATCTCATGCATTTTGCAAACTGCATCCCCGCATCTATTCTAATAGATTTTTCACCATATTTTGTGTTTGAGAATATGTAAAATGCATCATTTTGCATTACAAGTTGAAGATGTTATTAGCCTGTGTATAATAAGCGCAAATCAAATAGCCTTTTATGTTATTTTTTCCACATTTTTAATTCAATTTAAACTGCAAAGTTTATTTTATATATGTACATGCACCATAAAGAATATATATTGTACCAGTATTATATTTTAAAGTGAAATGGAACCTCCATTTCATGAGCAGAAATGTGAAATTTATACTTGTCATCTGTATTTCTTTTTTTTTTAAATTTTTTCTCACATGTATCTGAATGTTTAAAGGAGAACAAAAGTCAAAGATAGCTCAATATAATGTTTATATTCAAGGTTATAACTGGATATTGTTTGTGCTGTATATCTGACTCATCATATTATGAGAAGCAAAAATACAGAATATTTTAGATAATGTTTGATTGGAAAATGAAAAATATCAGTATTCCAATTTTTCCCATTGTTATATTTTTAATTACTTTATCATTAATATCAATATACATAGTAAAGATCTATGCCATCCAATTCAGAGAGTTGTAGGCAATCCTGGTGCAGATAATATTTTTTTCCTGTGTTTCGCAGTATAGCGGGAATACATTGTATGCGAGGAATGTATATTAATGGTTTTGGTTGTATATGTGGGCGTGGCCAAAGGAAAGCCAATGAGAAATGAGTATTCAGTAATATGTTCATATCATTCTAAGCCAGTGCTCTTCAATACACACATTTTTTTTTTGCTTTATATATATATCATATTTTTATAAATATACTGGTAATGGAAATAACAAAACTGTTGAAATGTATTTTAATTTTGATTTTTTCATACATGCAAATATTATAGGATGTTCGTGCATTTTTAACTATTGCACCGAATGCACGTCCGGCATTCTCCTTTGAGACATTATTTACAGAGCGACGGACACAGGTTTTCCATAGTTAACCATCTATGGTTTTTGCCTGGGCGGTTTTTAATGTCAGTGATAGGGATACAATTTATTACATGTAAAATATTTTGCAAATGCATTGCAGTGCTTTATTGTTTCACATTCAATGTAATGTATGTTAAATATTTATGTTTTGTTACATGTATCAAAATAAACGCCAGCTGCTCCAACTAAGCTAACCTGGCTTTCATCATAGGTGTTGTATTATTTGAGGTGTAGTCTGTCAAATAATGATGAGTCGAGTGTTTGAATCTGTAGATGACCATTTCTAATACTAATTTCCACTGGAAATGGATACAAGATAATAAAAACAATATATGAAATTTGTCTTAAAATTCTGGGTACTGACTAGATTAGATTCTTTAAACTAACTGTGAAAATCCAAAGAATAAGTGTATTAAACAATAGTCAGCATTTAAATAAGACTTTTATAAAATATGTATATTTAATGAACTTTAGTATGGCATTAAAGGTGAAAGGTTATATTTAATTATCTTTTCGTGTAAGTAAAGGTTACCTTTTCACCTTTATTTTTTGTAAAGTTAATACAA